AATTTGATTGAATTTGATTAAAAGTTTAAATAATAATAATAATATCATCTGCTACCAATTGATCATACATCAGCATATTGAACTTCACTGCCAGGTGTTGTTGGTATAGAATTTTATTTTCATCAGAAACAGCTGCTAACCCGTGCGTTACCAATTTCACAAACTTTGTGAGTCATCAAAAAAATAAGTAACTCGATGATCTTTAACGGATGAATAAATATAATATAATAAAACTCTATTGTTACAAATGATTATTCGAATTTCTAAAAATTCAAACTTTTAGACATATTAGATCTTTTGATAATTTAAATATTTGAAAAAATTCGATTTTCTGCTAATTTGAATTTCTAAAACTTTGAACTTTGAGAAATTTGATCTTTTGGTAATTCGAAACTTTTGAAAATTTAATTTTCTAATAATTTAAATTTCTAAAAATTTGAACTTTTAGAAATTTGATTTTCTGATTATTCGAATTCGCGAATTCCTAAAAATTCGAACTTTTATAGAAATTCAATCTTTTTATAATTTGAACGTTTAAAAATTTAATTTTCTGATAATTCGAATTTCGAAAAATTCGAACTTTTAGAAATTAGATCTTTTGATAATTCGAACTTTTAATGATTCAAATTTCTGAAAATTTGATCTTTTGGTAATTCGGACTTTTGAGAATTCGAACTTTTGGATGTTCGAAACTAAAAAATTCCAGACAAAAATAAATTTTTTTATTTTATTTATCTTTTTAATAAATTTTGCAAAGAAAAAAAATTAAACATATATTTGTGAATAATCAATGAGAGTCAATTTAAGTTTCACTATATATATATTGAAGTTTTTATGAAGTTTGTTTACAACTATCGTGCTTTGAAAGGTAAATTTATATGTGAAGTTTAAAAAGACTATTCAACGAGTCAATCAAGAATCTATCAGCTGTCCTCTTGAATCCATTTAAAAACGTCAACAAAACCGAAAAAGTCGACTTAATCATCAAGTTTGCCGCTCTCTTTCTATATATATATATATATATATATAGGTATATACCTGTTGTGCAAACACACCTCTCCTTCTCATCCATCCGCAAAGTAAATTTACCTAGCCTAAATCGATTGAATGCCTAATGTCGCCCCATAATTTCCAACTTCAACACATTTGCTAAGTTTATTCTTGACCAGAATTTTATTTTTTTCTATTTTTCACCCTCTTTTTGGGACCAAATAATACACATAGAAATTTTGAAGACTAAATAGATTTTTAAAATCAAGTAAAAAATTTTTTACTGAAAAGAGGCAGGACGTTGTTTGTATAGAAAAAAAACCTGTTTTTTGGATTTCCTGTATACAAATTTTTTCCCATTCTATATAAGTATTTTTTATTTTATTAAAAAAAATTTTTTTTTTTTTAATAATAATTCCAACTCTTAAGTGTATTCATTTTTTTTTTTTTATTCTAAATAATGAAAAAGTGTATATAGAGGGAAAAAGTTTAAGTACTTTGAAAAGTATTTTCATTAAAAAATAGAGACCAACATTCTGCGTTAGATAAAAAGTTGGAATGAGTCAACGGCAAAAAAAAAAAAAAAAGAAAAATTGCTAATGAACGAAACAAACTTCTCTTCATTATATTTTCTTTTGTTTCACGCTTATTATTTACACTTGGCATACGTGTATAATTCTTGTTGCAAATATAGTTTTTTGTTGATTTAAGAAAATATATTTTACACAAGAATTCATTATATATACGTTTTTGAAAATTGTTTTCAAAGAGGTTTCATTTATAAAAATAAATTTAAATAATATTCTATAATATATTTTTAGATGCCATTTTGTAACGTGGAAAAAATTAATTAAATCCAACAAAGATAATCTATAAAAATTAAAATCTTATAAATTTTAATCCGATGGATGAAATTTATTTCTATTTTTCTACTAAAAAAAAAAAATTAGTAAACACAAAGTTTGTTAATTTTTTTGTTTTAATTAAATTTTGACAGTATTTTTTCTAAATTTTCAGTCATTGTCAAATGTTACATATGAAATTTTTAATCAATTCTTAATTATATAGTGAAGGTAGCTCTTACTGATTAATCTAAGTTTGACTCGGACAAACTTCACTGATGAAACAACAGTGAAATTGATTACTGAATATGACATGACATTAGTTCATACAACATTCACTCATCATCAGAGAGAGGAGAGAGAGAGAGCGTTCATTGAATAATGGTTAATTTTCCGACCACCAATATTGAAAGTATTAGTTAGCAATAATTAGAGTATAAAAAAAAATAAAAACTAACAATTTAATAAGGGACAACAATAGTTTTTAAAAAATCGATTTTTTTGAAAAATTTACTTCAAAATTTTAAGAAAAGTGTCCCTCTTTTTGCGTTTATCAACATTATTAAATGTCGTAAAAAATTTTAGAACCACTTTTACAATTTTAAAAATAAAGTTGTAAACGGTTAAAATTTTGAAGAAGAAATTTTTTTAAAAGTTATCACAGAAACGTCCTTAGGAGGCAGTTAAGAAAAAATGAATATCCTACTGATATCCAGAAAACATTCTAGATATTCAAGGGATATTCTAGATAGACAGAATGATATCCTGGATATTCTGAAGATATCCTAAATATCTAAAATGATATTCCAAATCTAAAACATCTCTAGTATTTCCCTCTCTAGATATGTTAAAGATAATCTTTCCAATTTTCGTAAAAATTTTACCTTTCACTAGTATCCGGATATTCACAATATCCTACGAACGTACGTCTTAAGTACATTTTTTTCTTCCAGGGAAATAGGGACATTACTAGGATTTCCGTAAGACATCCTAGAAATATCCTAATTTTCTCATGGATATTCTATTGATCCGGAAGTACTTGGAAGTAAGGATATTCCAGGGATGTTTACGGATACCCTACAAATGGAAATGATATCCAAAAGCTCTAAAAATAAGGATATTCATAAAAGATAATCCTGTTGACATCTTAGGGATATCCGTATAATCTCTGGGAAATAAAGATTTTCATGAGATATTCCAGGAATATTTGCGGATACTCTACAGACATTATAAGGACATCCAAAAGCTCTAAAAAATAATGATTTTCATAAGAGATAATCCTATTAACATCCTAGGGATATCCGGAAGCTTTTGAAAATTTGGATATCCACAGGATATTCCAGAGATATTCGTGGATATCTTTCAGACCTCGTAGAGATATCTGGAAGTCCTTGGAAATTAGAATATCCATAGGATATTCCAGAGATGTTCGTGGATATCCTACGGAGCTTTTAGGGCGATATTTTAATTTTTGAAAGCCCCGGATGTCCCTGAATTATCCGTATGATATCTTGAAATATCTTTCAGAAAGATTTAATTCTATTTCTCACATCAACGGATATTTTAGGATATCCTATTGACCTCCCAGGGATATCATTTGGTCTGGGAGAAAAAGGATATCCTTACGATATCAGCGGACGTCCTGTGGAAATCCTAAGGTTATCCAAATTGCTACTCTTATAGGAATAGTAATATTTTTTTTTCTCATTTGTCTTGGCATTTTTGATAGATTATTTTTAATTCTCACGCATCTGGATATGATATCCGAAAGTCGAATATGTAATTTTATTTCCCTTTTCTCTTGTTTCCACCTTCACTGTTCGATTTTCAAGAAAGTGAAAATGTAATTATGAATTTCGGAAGTGAAAGTTGAATAGTGGATGTAAAAATGGAATGGTGAAAGTGTAAGTGAAATGATTAAAGTGGATGTGGAATTAAAAGTGGAACGTTGGAAGTTAAAAAGAGATGGTAAAAGAGGAAGGGTGAAAGTGAAAATAAAAATTAGGTGAAAGTGGAATGATAAAAGTGGAAGTGGAGTGGGGAAAATGGAAATAAAATAGTGAAAGTGGAAGTGGAATGGTGAAAATGTAAGTGAAATGATTAAAGTGGATGTGGAATTAAAAGTAGAACGCTGGAAGTTAAAAAGAGATGGTAAAAGAGGAAGGGTAAATGTGAAAATAAAAATTAGGTGAAAGTGGAATGATAAAAGTGGAAGTGGAGTGGGGAAAATGGAAATAAAATAGTGAAAGTGGAAGTGGAATGGTGAAAGTGTAAGTGAAATGATTAAAGTGGATGTGGAATTAAAAGTGAAACGCTGGAAGTTAAAAAGAGATGGTAAAAGAGGAAGGGTGAAAGTGAAAATAAAAATTAGGTGAAAGTGGAATGATAAAAGTGGGAGTGGAATGGGGAAAATGGAAATAAAATAGTGAAAGTGGAAGTGGAATGGTGAAAGTGGAAATGTAATTACATAATCGACCTCCCGGATGTCACAAGACTATATCATTTGGTCCGGGAAAATTAGGATATTTCTGGGATGTCCTACGGAAATCCTAGTGATTCCCAGTTAGGAAACTACCAAAAAAAATTTCAAACATTACCAATTCGCAAATCTTTGACAAAAAAAGAAGAAGAAAATCCCAAACTATTCTAAACAATAGTACAATATACTGTAATATGAAGCTAAAATGAAGCCCACCCTTCAAGGTGGGCGCCAACCTTGAAAATTCTTGAAAATATGGTGAAAATAAAAAAAAAACTCATGCAGTCGTGTGCCGAAAAATATATATCTTTCCCCCCCATCGTCGCCGTTTGGGAGACAGGTCCCTATATATATCCCAAGGGCTAAAGCATCGTTAAAAAAAGCTGGCACAGGCGGTCAAAAACGGTCGGTGGTCCCTGCGGGCTTCTGCATTTTGCCCCGAAGAAGAAAGAACCACCTGCCGTGGGGGACCGGTGGGGGCACCTCACCGTCGCTTCACTCCGTTCTCTCCTCTTCCCTTTCCCCCCCATACCCTTCTCTTCTCTCTCTCTCCCCCATTTCGTCGAACCAACACTCGAGTTCCCCCCACTCATTTGAACTCATCCCCCCTCTTTTCCACTTCTTCCCTCTCCAGTACCGAGTATACCAAGAACATCGTGCGGCGGGTTGCATGCTGCACACGAGTGAAAAAATAGGGTGGGTAGTGGAGAGTCAAGGTATAGTGAAGGGGAGGGGGGTTTGCGCTGGTACCGCGCGTCTCTACATTCAGTTGCCGCGCGACTGTTGAGAAGTGCGCACACAAATTTCCCCTTAGAAAAAAAAAATTAAAGATTGTTTATACAATCTTTAAAAAAAAAAAAAAATAACAACCAGATTTTTAATTTCTACCCTGGAAAAAAAAATCGTGGCTTAATTTCCCTCCCCCACCTATCAAAAAAAGGATATTTTACATGGATAATTAGACTTCTTCATTGTATCATCTCAATTGGGATTTTAAAAAAACCAGTGGATCAACTAAAGTGTGATATTGAACCCAATATAGTGATGATTTGCAAATGTGATTTTTCATTATTAAATGATTGGGAAGTGAGGGGAAATTTATTTTAAAGTGAAGGGAAAAAGTTGGAAATAAAAGTTTGTTTTTTTTTATAGTGAAGCTAATGTGCAATCGACAATATTGAGGCGCGACAGGTGTTGAAAGGTGAAGCAATGATCACCAATCGCAGGTGAAATTTAAGGAACCGTTGAAGAAAAAAAAGAAATTGGAATAAAAATTGGTGTTTTTGAGATTTAGTGTTTGGTTTTTTTTTGTTTGTTTTTGGCAAAAGTTTTTTTGTGTGAATGTGTGTTAAAAATTCCATTATGGATTCAGGAGGATTTAAGATTCCGAGTTCACTGCGGATTATCTTCAGTGTTTTACTCTTTTATTTCGGTGAGTATCCCCACCCCGTCGGTGTTGGTTTTCTTTTTTTAAGTTGTTAGATAATTTTGAAATCACACAAGTAATTTAGTGAAATTCTACTAGTGATGATGATCCATAAATCTTGTGAAAAACCGTTAAAATCAACAATAGGGTACGGTTTACACATGCGGGAGAAGGGAATTTCAGAGAGAGCGAGAGAGAGAGAGTTACCATCAAATTGCATCCCAATTTGTCTCGGTTTCCCAAAACTTTCGTTGTCAGGATGAAAGGGATTAGAGGACGAAAATAGGGGACTTGGAATTTGGATCCTTCTAGTGAATTATTGACGCTAATTTCGGATGAATTTCCAACTTTCCTAAAGATTGATTGATGATTGGAATTCATGGAATTAAAAAAAGTGGATATTTGTTTTCAAATCCATCGTTTAATAATTTCTCTATCATTTCTCTTCCAATGAGCTTTTACAAAACCATTTTTTTTGGGGGGGGGGGGAAAGGGAGAGGACGATTCAAATTAATCTCGCAAAAGTGGATTATTACTGGAATTGCGGAAATTTTTCACTTCCGTTTCACAAGTCCTCTGTGTGTATATGTTGTGAATGTAGCAATCAAACAGTATTGTGTGATGTAGTTTGTATATATATATATATATATACAAAAGTGAATATGCTTTGTAACAAGATAAGCAAAATGGCACTAAATTTCCTCCACTAATGAGTAAATCTTCATATAGGGCTAATTAAAACTGGCGTTGTTGACACATACAAGATTCTTTATCACATTGTCGTTGGAAAACAGTTGGGAGATTTTTTTACTCCTCCTTCTGTCGTCGTTGCAACGGAAAATTTGATATTTTTATTTCGTGATGGTACTTGGAGGGTTTACATACATCCGGATAAGTGACAGCTGCTAGATTCTCTTGAAAAAGGAAACGGATTTTCTTTTTGCACACCTTTCACACTCGAAGATTTATTTTAATTTTTCTTTTTCTGATGGTGTTATTTTTTGTTTTCTCTTTTTCAAAATCAGAAATTTTTCTTAGTGTTTTTTCTGGTATTAGGATTTTTTCTTCTCAAAATTGGAAATAGTGTTGTTCGAAGTTTCTAGAAGAATTTACAGATTGATAAACAAAAATTATTTGAAATTTAGTGGTAATTTTGAAGAATACCGCAACGTTGGAAATTATTGGAGAGAATTCTAAAATTTCTTCTACTGTTGCACAATTAATGAACGTAGAAAAATTATGTCTGTTGATGATACAATCCGTAGTGAATTTATCACTCAAAGAAATACCAGATCCGAATATACAAACGTTTTTGTTCGATTGTGTAAATCAAAATCAGTTGCATTTTTTTGCTTCTGATTTACTAGACGAACAAAATCATTTGGATTTTAAGAGATTTTCTGTTTAAGTAAATTTTTCCGAATTTGGAAGTACTTTTGGGATTTAAAATTGCAGTTTTCAGAATTAGAATTTTCAGTGCAACAAAATTTGAGCAGAAAGGAAAGACATTAATAGAAATTATTTATCCTTCTCATAAACTAATAAGAGATAATGTGGGGAAAAAAATAGGAGATAGCGGCATTTTACATGGCGCCTATTAAAATATCTTTCTTGGTAAATAGAAATTGCATTTGTAATTAAATATATATATATGGAAATTACAACACATTTTAACTTGGTGATAAATTTTACGTAACATTACAGTATTTACTTAAATGTTCATACAGCTGGAAAAATCAAATCGTCTGAGCTATCTCCATGATTTAAACGAGGCCTCAATTCAAATAATTACTGTCTTCAAGTCACTCATCAAAACATTTAAGAAAAAAAAAATCTTGGACGCTCGCTCGTTTATTATTGCTCAATCAACTACCATGAGCTCGCAATTCGCTTGTGTAGTGCAATAACCTCTTTGAAGTCTCTCTCTCTCTCTTCTATTTTAAATCAGTTAAAACTTTTTAAGTCTCTCTGTTATTTTTTAAAAGAATTTATATCGGATTTTGTTTTTATTTTTAAATTCTCTGATCTGATTTCTACTTTTATGGATACAATTTTTTTTCAACAAAACGTTTCTTCCTTATTTTTACATTCTTCTTCCTCCACTTCTTCTTTTTCTACAAAAGAAAGTAAGAAACAAAATGTTTCTTCCTTATTTTTAAATTCTTCTTCATCTTTTTATTTAGAAAATTAATTTAGTTTCAAAGAACATTTTATTGATTCAAAAAAACTTTGTTTGAATGAAAAAAATTTGTGCAAATAAAAAAAAAATTCTAACATTGATATAGGGTCAAAGAAACATTTATTTGAATTAAAAAAAAATTCTTTGAAACTAAGATAATTTTTTTTTTGAATCAAAAATAATTTGTTTGAAACAAATAAATTTTCTTTGAATCAAAGAAAAATTGTTCAATGAAATTGATTTCTTTGAATCAAAAAGAAATCTTTTTTCTGGGTGTATAATATAGCACAGTATTCAACCGAATAATCATTTTGTCGTTCTAAATTGAAAATATACGATAATGTCAATATAAATATTATTTTTTTTTAATTGTCAAAAATTCTTAATATCTTTCATTTTTTCTGTCAAAATAATCACTTGCAAAAATAGCCCAGTATTTAACCGAATAACATTTTTTTTCTGCTAAATATGTAAAAAATACTAATATTGGCACTATGTGCCAAGTTTCTTTCTTATTTTTACATTCTTCTTCCTCCACCTCTTCCTTTTCTTCAAAAGAAATGTTTCTTCCTTATTTTTAAATTCTTCTTCTGCTTTTTATTTGGAAAATTGTTTTCAGTTTCGATTTAAAAATATTTTCTCCTCCACCTTCAATATATTGCGAATTCGTTTTCACATTGTAAATTATTCACATTGTGAATATACATATATAAGACAGGGAAATTGTAATTTTTCAGTGACAGAAATTGGAAAATACCATTTTTCATACATGAGATTAGTAATTTTTTTTTCTTTTTTTTGGCGGGAAATTAGATGCCGTCAAATGCATGAATTTATGTAAACTGAAGTTGTATGTATGTATGTATATATATATATATATATATATATATATATATGTATTTATCGCAGATGCAATAGAGTAACCGTGAAAAATTTGAAACGACTTAGAATTCACGCAAGGTCGCATTTGGAATAGCAAAAAGCTCGCCTCCTTTCTCCGGAAGAGATTCAAACGCGATTTCACAGTATTCCAGAGAGAGAGAGAGAGAGAGAGAGAGAGAGAGAGAGAGAGAGAGAGAGAGAGCGCATTTATCCGATCGAACTGAAACTTAAACCGAATGTCAATCCAAATGTGGAACGACGACGTTATATTTATTTCCCTATTTCTAGTATTTAAAAGCGCAAAAATTTATTTAAAGAAAAATATATTGCAATCAACATGATATTGAATGACACGCAATTTTATTATATAACAAAAAGAGATGAAATGTCAATAATTTTTCAAAAAAAAAAAAAAAAAAAAAAAAAAAGGAAAAGAGCAAAAGTTTTTGAAAGAGATTCCTATATAGATTTGTTTTGCGAATTCAGAGGGTACTGTGGTGTGTTTCAAGAGTGGTAATTTTGTTATTCTAAACGAATTGAGTTAATTCAGAAAATTCGTTTTGGTGAAATTCTGTTTGCTGAAACTCTTCCAATTTTTTCAAATCACTCGTGCTTCAAAAAAAAAAAAAAAGAAAAAAAATGTGTTGATTACTTTTTTCACATCTAAGCACATTTCTATTTCGAATTATTCGATTCTATATATCTGAAATTTGACTTTTGATTTTAGTTTTAGTTAGTTAATTTCAGTTTATTTTCTTTTAAAATAAAATTAGTACTAATTATTACTTTATTCATACCAATTTTAGAAGTAGACGATTATTTGTCTGTCTGTCTGTTCCCATAATAAAAAGCTAAAATTATTTTAAAAATGCGTTATTCGAAAATTTTTGACTTTTTTAAAACAACAATATCTTAATTATAACGCATTGAATAATATATTATACTTGAAGTCAATATATATATAGCACAGTATTCAACCGAATAATCTTTTTTGCTGATAATATGTAAAAAAAAATATCTTGATAAATATCGATATTAAAAAACAGTCAAAAATAGATTAATCGATGCGTATTTAAATATATTCTATAATCCCATCATGATAGTTTGAAAATAACATAAAAATTGAGGAAAAACGTATTCATTGATTTATTTGACTTTTAATAAAAAATTATATTACCAAGTTATTGACGTTTCAAAAATATTTGGGAGTAAAAATTTTCAGGAAAAATTGAAAAGGTTAACATGTACATCTTCTACTTATTTACTATAATTTAATGAGCAAAAATGATAAAAAGAGAGCAGTAAATAGTATAAACTAATGGGTTTTTTCCTAGTTCACTCAGTGGTCACTAGTTTGAATTGGCGCTATCTCCCAGACCACTGATACACTCACGTGACTTCTGTGTACTCGTCGCTGAGTTTCTTGTCATTTTCATTTAAAAACGTGACTTTATAAATTTATTTATTTTTTCAAAAAAACAATTTAACCCAAAATTAGGCTTCTTTTTTAGAGAACAGCGATTTTACATTTGATTATTATTTTCTATCATTCTTGAAAATTTGAGCCCAAAATTTAGGGGAAAAATTTTTAGCAAAATTTTGGTTTTTGCATAATTAGATTTTTTTTCAAAGTACCAAAAAAAATTATTTTTTATATCTTCAAAATTAAAAAAAAACTTTTAATAAGAAAAATCAACATGACAAATGATGTTTAAATACACAGAAAAAACTTGGACTCATTTTTGTTGCAACTCATTTTCTTTTGGGTATCGAAATGAGTATGGGACAAACTTCATGTTATTCAAAATGATATTGGCTGGAATTTCAGATTTCTAAGTTGGCATCATAAGCAGAGTAATTTTGTATTTCAATTATTGTTTCTAATATTTCAACAACACCAGAAAGATTATTTTGACCAGTACGAATATTTAGAAGTTTTTAAATA